CGGGGAGGGACGGGGCTGTGGCCGAGGGAGGGCGGCTTCCGTGGGGGTGAGGGAGAGGCTGGCGGGGTGTTTGTGAGTGGAACGCTGGGCCCGGTGACCGGGGCGTGAAGCGAGGCGAGGTGGGGAGACCGAGGGAAGTGGAACTTGCGGATCCCTCAGAAGCGAGGTCAAGAAGCTTCAGCTCTGGAGTGGAAAAACGGGAAGTTGCTGGAGGGAGTCAGGTGGTAGATGGGAGAGGGGATATGAGGTGAGAAACACGCCCTTTGCCATATCTGGGTAAGCTTGGGGTGTGGTGGAGGAATGGTGCAAGAGAAGGTTGGCCAGAAGCTCACGATGGCCTGAACACAAGTTTCACAGAATATGGAGGAGGAGGTTTTTGAATTTTGGTGTTTTATATTTATGTTGTAGATTTACGATTACTGAGCTGACCAAAAAAAAAAAAAAAAAAAGAGTTCTGTCCATTTCGTCCTGTGTGGTGGGTTAGATCACATGGGGGCTAAAACCAGCCTTGCGAGAAGGTTAGTCTCATCTGAGAACAGCTCCCTGGGCTGGTTCACCGTACGGCCACGCAAACCTTTGTGTTGGCACTACGGCAGGAACTGGAGCCGGGGTGGGCATAAGCAAGTAGGGGAGAGTGGGACTGCAGTTTTCACCAGCAGTGTTAGTTCATACCTGCCTTAACTGTGCATTCATCTAGTGAATTCATATTCAGCGTTGAAGCTTTATATTGAAAACATCTGGAGGCTGCAACAAGTGCAATCTGTTGCGCTAGGCGCTGCATTTGCACAGATGCTTGTAAAGGCGGTATGATGGAAGAAAGAGCAGGCAACTGGGAGCACATAGATGGAAGGACGAATGGTATTTTTTTGTGACAGTAAATCTGTTTGCACAATCTATCTGGTGCTATTGCAAAGGCAGGCAGTGGAAAACTTTTAATCTTTATATTTTACCTATAAAGGAAACAAGACAAAATGATAACTGTTTCTTCTTTTTTTCTCTTCTTCATGCTGCAAAAAAACAGTGGCCAAGAGCAAATCTAAGTAAGTGATGTTTTCCTCACCAGTTTTTTATTTCTGCTACCACCCTGTATCCTCAAATGACGTTACAAAATATTAGGCTTCTCTAGAATTTTTTAATATACCTGAGAGAATTGCAATCTTTTAGTCTAGCTGTGTCCTCTCTGTCCTTCTGCACGTGTGTCTGGTCACAAGTAGGTACAAAACGGTGTGAAACCCCCCCTGGGTTCTGAAAATATAGCAAAGGCAGGTTTTGTCCGATGGGCTGTCATATTGAGCTGAGCTGTAACATCCAAAATGCCCTGTGCAAGGGAAGTATGCCTCCGTGCTTTATGATTAAAGAGAAGCTTTAAGTTACCCATATAATCTTTTTTACCTTTCATACTTCTTTAGCTGAGGAGGGCAAGCCAAGGTACAGTGTGGGTCTTTGTTGTTTGTGGGCTGGGCTTTGGGCAGGTGCTGCAAACCTTTCTGGTAGGCAGGGTGCAGAATGCTTCCCACTTCTAGCACAGTCATATGTTGATACATGAGGAGTGGACAGGGTGCGGTCAGTGCTCTGGGCATCTTGATTTGCTCTGTAGTGCAGCTCAGCAGAGATGTTAGTGGGCTCTGGAAGAAAATTAGTCACAATCCTTGGACCTGTAAAGAAAGCTGATGTGTGTTAAGAGTTGGAAATGAAGGAATAACTACTTTCAGCATACCGGTAGTCTTATCGTGTGGATGCAAGGCGACAAGATCATGTGGAGAGAGTGACTTGCATCCAAAGTGCTATTTGTAAGAAAATAAGCCAGACAAATCCAAGGGGCTAAACTGATAAATTTATGTGAATACATTCCTGTCTTCTGATTCTCAGAGGTTGCGTGCTGTGTGAATTTATTATATTTGGTACTGCACAGCCTCAGGAACTACGGCCTTTGGTACATTTTCTGTTTTTAAGAATCAGTTCCCGACAGAGCCAGTACCAACCACTTGCTGGGTTTGAAGAGATTCTTCTATTACAGGGTTTCTGCACAATTTTCAGGGTTTTAAATAAGAAAGTGCTTCCTAAGTATGTGCCTAACAGGGAAGAGAGCAGTTTAATATCTCAGTGTTCTGCTGTTACCTGTTTGCAGAAACAAACACAGCAAAGCAGGGTGTTTCCATGAGGTGAAAAAATAGCTTTTAAAAATGGTGTTACTAATGTTAATGTAGTGATTTCTTTTTTTTTTCCTCCCCTCTCTTTTTTTTCCTGATGTTCCTTTTTCTGTTCTTTGTATAGTCCCGTATGTACTTCAGGAATATGTTATCTTCTTATATTATTTATCCTTCTATGCCACCCCTGGGTTTTCTCCCCATGTGCCGATAGCTTTCCACTGTTCTTTTCTGCCTCTCCTCCTAGCTAAATTTCTCCAATGGGCAGCAAGTTTTCTGAACAAGGTGTATTGTTCAGAAAGGGCCTGGCCTCAAATATGCGGTGCGCGAGAATTTCAAGGGCTGGTCATATTGATACCACTGATTCCCCAGAAAGGGGAAACTGCACAGAGGCTTTGAGGAAGTGGGTGAGGTGTAGGGGAAGGAGTCTCTGTGGTTACTGGTGCTACGCATCACACCTGCAGCAGCGTAGAGGAGGTGATGGTAATTGGGGATAATCCCTAGACTATGCTTGGTCAGTTGGTCTGCAGGAATCCAGTGTTTTTCTGTTTATTTTGAACTCAACAGTAAATTAGATTGCAAAGCTGAAAAGGGAGAGCTCAAGGAAGTACACTGGTCAGAGCTGCACAAGTGGGGAAGAATGGATATTTCTTCAAGGTTAATTTTGACAGACCATTTTGTATTAGAAAGAGGAAAATCGAGGAAAATTAATTGAATGCCCACCTACAGAGATGTATCCATCCCTTTATTGTAATGGAAGAGAAAGATGTAATTTACAGACTGGTTAAAGGGTTTGACCTTTGTTTTGAAACTTCAGAAGATGCCCTGTGTCTGAGAAGTTGCACAGATCTCAGCATATTTCAGGGTGGGGGGCATGGTGGCAGCTTTCTCAATGTCCTGGCTTGCCCTGCTCTCAGGGACGTCGCAGCTGCTGCCGGTTTGCCCTACAGACCGAGAGCCCGCCGGTGTGGAGGGGGTTCCCATGCCTGGCTTAATGTCAATCCCTGTATCTCTAGTGGGGCAGATGGTGCCAAGGGGCCCTGCTTCTCCTTTTGCATGCCTCTTGTTCCATCCTATCTGCTCGGGTTCCTCTCTGCATGTGGAAGTGATAGTCTGTGATATAATGTTATCTACAGCCTGAACATCTTTAACTACCATCATCGTTCCTCTCTTGCCATTATCTTTTAAGCTAGAGTGACTCAATTGTATGCCGATTATTTTTTTTTCTTGTCTTTCTATCTCTGCCTCTCTCTGCTTGTCTTTCCTGTTTTTCTTCCTCCCACCTCAATATTTTGCGGAGGAGCTACTTCTCTATAGGCTTGTATTCTGTTCAGGAGTTATTTTCTTGAACTTGATGCTGAAGCTTATGGTTTATAGCGGGCTCTGTGTCTGCATTAGAAGTTTAGCATATAGTTTTGAGGTTACCATCCAGAACATCTGTGAAGTTGAAAGGAATTATCTTTTGTGATTGTGCCAAATTGTTTATGCTAAAAGCTTGTGCATTTGACCATGCCCTGGCAGACATATGGTGGGCCACTGCTGTGTGCCTGTGCACTGACACAGAGACATTCCTTGTGACTTTAGATATATTCTGGTGAGGATGAAAAGTGCGGCTGAGACGGGCTTCTGTTTCAACATCAGGAGACTCCGGCTGCAGGAAAAACTGGTCCTGCTGAGATATGATCCCATCGGTAAGAGAGCTTGGGGAAGAAGTCAGCCTGCTTTGTATAAACTTCTCTGACTTGGGGGGGGGCAAAAGATTTGAATATAACAGGATTTTTCCCATCTAAGCAGAATATGTCATAACATGTTTTCTACTCAGATGACTGTACAGTTGCTGTTCTTCATGACATTCCAGTGGGAAGTAAACGTTACGCTCATTTTACAGATTGTGGTAGTGAAACAAAGTAATGACTTGCCTGACACATCAGAGTCTTTGATGACAGCCATGCCACATGTCAGTGGCAAAGCAAAGTGACACAGGAGTTCTTTCACTCTGTTTCTTTGTGTGGTTTGCTAGATTGTGCTACCTCCAACAAGCAGCCACGAAGTATGCATCAATAGAAATGTTCTGTTAAGCTGCCATGGGTGCTCTAGACAATAGAATTTTGCCATCACTTACAAAATGGACTTTTTCTTTTAAGGAAATAAACGCAAGTTCTTCCTCCTCCACAAATGATACTGCTCTCCAGATGACAGTTTGTGGGTTCTTTTATGTTCCTCTGGTCCTTTCAGATTTTCTCAGTTTAAGAATCAGATTTTTGGGGGGGTTACGGCACTTGCCAAACTGCCTTTTGCTCACCAAACTTTTTGAAAGGTGACTAAGAGCTCAAGTTTCTGGGGGAGGAAGTAGTCTGTAGTTAATACTAAAAAGCTTAATTTAACCTTAAAAAGCTGAATTTGGGGAAACTTAGAATTTAAATCAGACCATGCCAAACCATGCTAGAAATAGCATAGTGGAGTTAATGCAAAAAAGGCATATTTAAATCTATAGAATAAAGAAATATATTAGGCAGCTCTAAGTAGATAACATAAGGCATGGGCAGTAGTTATGTGGTTCAAGCTTATATTTTCTAATAATTTTATGTTTTTGTTAGATGACTAACCTTTTCATATTCAGATCTAACAGTACAGGAGCTTTGTGGCAGGTGAGAGAAACCACCAGAGAAGCAGCATACTCTCATCAAAGCACTCATGCTGACAGAGGTTGTGGCTCTCCTTCTCGATTCCATACAGAAGGGAAATCAGAGATCACTGGGATTATTTTCTTGAATAAGAAAAGTTAAAATTAATGCATCAAAACATCGTGCAAAGTGATCCTCCAGAAGCTTCACAACTTGTTGGAAATGTGAAGAGAGTGGAGAGCTTAGGCTTCTGTTGCAGAACACGTAGTAGGTTGTTGAAGTACAAAATTGGAAGTAATTAAGAAAAAAAGCTCTGATCTTTGTAGCCTGTAGTAGAACACAAGTGAGAAATTGATGTGAGAAAGTGCTGCATGTGTGAAGGGAAGTAAATTTGAGTCTAGATACCAACTCACATCAGGAATATGTTAGGAAGCATTTTCACTTGGCATGCATTTTCACCTTATGTTTTGTACTTCTCAAAAACCTGGGACCTCTACAGAATGAAGCCTTTTAGTGAAGTAGTGGCAAGTAGTGCGCAAGTTTCACTACCTCCTAACTGCAGCAACAGAATGTGTTACTAAGTTGCAGTATTTCCTAAAGCGAAACTTTTATGTGGAAGAAGAGATTTTGTTACTGTAGGGATTGCTCTTGCATAGCTTTCAAAGGAATTCGTATAATAAAATTCAGTTGGAACAGTGGTGCTTTTCAAGTGGCATTGAAAAGCCTTGCTTTGATTTATTTTTTGATTTTATTTTTTTTTTTTTTAGTAATGCATTGTTTATGCTTAACCTGTAGCTGAACTGACTTTGCTAACATCTGCATCAGGTGTTGCAGGGCTACTTTGTGCCCCATTGAGAGATCCACAGGGCACTCAGTTAACTTTTCAGTCTGTCTGTGAGACCGACTAGATCCAGCTCATCATCTGTAATTGTTTGGGCTCTGAAGTCGAAGAGTAGTAGAAAGCAGTAAGAACCTATTTTTGTCCCTGCATCGAGTAGCTGTGACTCAGAATAGTCACACGGAGCAGCTGTTGAATGTGTTCAGCCACTCAAATCCTGATACTTATTTTCACAGAGGTAAAACGGACTTCTTAGGAGCTAAAAATTACATGTGGTAAAGTGAAAGCGCTACTAAACTCCTTCAAGAGTTGCTTAACAGCAGCGCTGTGCCAGTCAGTTGCTCCATAGTCATTTAAGCAGCGAAGGCAGCCAGGAGAAAGGGATGTAGGCTCGTTGAATTGCATCTTAACACTTCAGGCTTTTTAACAGATTCTTTTTTTCCCTATAGCAAAAAAACGTGTCCTCTTCACAGAGAAGAGAAAAATCCGCTCTATCTGAACAATGACTGGACTTGATTTATGCATGAGGAGAGGATGGTCTGGGGGGAGGACAGGGTGAATGCTGATTCAGAAATCGAGCAACATGGGCTGAAAAGAGAGGAAATGAACTGGGATCACCGTCTCCTGTGATTTGAAGGCCATTGTGAATAAAACAATGTAGAGAGAGAAAATTCTTAATGTCTGGACATAGATCATCACAGTAACATTTATTTATCTTTTGAGTTATTTTTACAGTACTCAATTAAAAAAAAATTAAATAGCAAATCCCATTGTCTGTGTTTTCCATTGTGAAAGAGGCTGTAATCTTCAAAGGAACTATTGTTTTATAAGGCAATAAAAATTAACATTTTCCACAGCAAGCAGGAATTCAATGGCAGGATTGCAAGTTTTTCTAACCTACCAGCCCCAGATTCAACAGTAGTGGCTGTGAATTGGTGTCATTCCTTGGAGGGGTAGTATGGCACCAGCTTCTTCTTAGGAAAGGAAGAAGCAATGGGAACGTGGTGAAATAAGACGAGCTTTTGGAGAAGCTACAACCACAGCTAAAAGGTCTATGTTATTTTCAGTCAGGTAAGTAGGACGGATTTTTCACTCCTGGATTTTTGTCAAGCGTGAAGAAAGTACATGGCCAAAGTAGTGCTCTCATGTTTTGGAAGTTTTTATTCTTTAATTAGCTCACCTATGTTTAGAGCAAAATGGCTAGAAACATTTTTCAAAGTCTACCTCAATAGCCCTCTTGTCCTCTTTCCATTTTGAGGGACCTTCCACAGCCTGGCGGAGTGCAGTGTCGCAGCCCGCATCTGCACCACGCGGGAATAGATGTGCCAGGGCTCGCTGCACGGTGCTTTGTTATGAGCCTGTCTGCAGCCGAGGACCGAAGCTGCAGTCTCAAAGCTAATGCTCAGCTTCACGTGCTGGCATGGCACGTTGGAACTTCTGATTCTAATCAAGTAAAAATATTACCAGGAGCCCAATACCTTCCAGATATTTTGCTGTAAACTTGGTGTAGTTCAGTATAGCTCATTATGTGGGATGGCCATAAGCCCAGTAGTTGTGTGTGGGGCCAGAGAGATGTGCTGTGCTGTGTTTGAAAGACCCCCCACCCCACCTTACAACTGTAGAACAGGAACTAATAGGATTCCTCAAATAAGAAGCAAAGAGACTTTCCTGGTCTTTCCAGTCAGCGGAGGAGAACCTCGGTGCAGTCAGGAGAATAATGCTGTCTGGATAAGATAAAATCAGTACGTTGAGCTAGACAATGTCAATTAGAAAAGGTCCTGAGGCAAGTCCTTCCTGTAAGGATACGAAGATTGTGTCCCTGGTGCCTGGACACTCACTGATGCCACGAAGTTAGACTTCCTGATCATTTCCTCCATGGGTAACTTGGGATAGTAAGCCAGGTAGAAGGCCAGCGCTCCCACAAAACTGTCTCCAGCTCCCTAGAATAACATAAAGCAGTTAAGCTTAAAAGCATACTGGCAGAGGGAAACAATTCACATGCATTTACTGGAAAGACAGAAGTTGCAGCACTGATTGCAGGAGTCGGGAAATTGTTCAGGGGTTGAGTTCAATTCACTTTTCTATTCCTAGGAAATTCTGCCATGTTAAGCTAACACCACCATGCTCTTTGTGCCCAGCTGTTGAATCAAGGTGTACTCTATAATGTGGCTTAAACTTAAAGAAAGAGAAAAGCAAGAGTGCTACAGTTCAGCAACACGCTGTTATAAGCACTGCTTTTGAAACTTCCTGTTGTTGGAGTGTCCGATTTTGATTTCTCAACCTGAACGTTTCATTAAAGCTATTTTTTTCTTATTTAACTTCTGTTTTTCATAAAGGGCAGTGGTAGAAGGGACAGAGAAAAGGGGAAAAAAAATATGCCATGTGGCTTGTGGTGTCTGTAAATTCCTAGTTGCGGAACGATCCATTTTGATACCTCCAGAACTTAGCTGTTCATTAAAAAGCTCCCGCTAATGATGGTCTCTGCTGTGTCTATGACATAAAC